CGGCGGCAAGAGGGTCAAAGTGAGGAGGTGCTGACGGGCCCCGCCGCGCCAGGATGCTTCTGGACCTCTTGGGGGGGTGGGTGGCCCCAGCCGCAGCCCGCGCCACTGGCGCACCAGGCGCAGTGGCTGCGGGTGAGTAGGACTGTGTGGCGAGCTCGGCCGAGGCAGAGGCCGGCCCGCCACTGCTCGCCGCAGCTGCTGCGGCTGGGAGGGTCGCCTCCGCCTTTGCCCACACTGCGGCGCTGAGGACGGGAGAGCTTGGTGCAGCCAGGGGCCTGGCAGTCAGGCAAGGGGCGGGAGAGGGTTCATCCTGCCGCCCCTTTGCAGCTGAGATTTGGTGCTGCAGGATTTTCAACTTGCTGGACGACAATCTGTTGGCCACACAATTCCGGCACATAGCGTGCAACAGGGCGCCTCCACCGTCGCTGAACTTCCTGCGACCTCGTCGGCACCCTCCTGCAGGATGCGCATCCTCTGCTTGCCCCGCGTTTTTTGGTGCCTTCACTGCATTCCTGGCGCACTGAGCACAATGCTGTTCCGCCCCTCTCTGCTGGATGTGCTTTGAAACTGTGGTGCCCACGTGAGCAGCCGCAATGCTGCCATCAAGGCTAAGCGCGCTGCCCGCTGCTTGCGCTGCCGTTCCCGCCTTCCAGCCTGTGTGTGTTTTGGCGTATCCTATCTGCCTCCTGATTCGGCACCTGGGATGTTTGTGCACTTCACATACCCAGCAGTACACACTACCTTGTGCCAGCTCAGCACGGTCACATGCATCTGCGACATCTGTCTCTGGACAACTGGAAGGACCATGTACTGATACAAACACTGATGTAAAAACAATAGATGATGATGCCGAACCTGTAAGCAGCTCCTCGCTCTTACGTACAGAGGTCTCTTACAGAGGAAAAGTCCTGGCCCAGCAAAGCGGCGTTCCAAGGGGCCTATGCTCGCAGCCTATCGCCCCACGCCCCAGTGCCCGTGGCCGCTGCAAAATGGCTGGCGGCATTGCCACCAAAAACCAGCAAAACAAAACAAATTGCTACAGTGTTGGGGTTTACGCCGTGGGGGCTGTGCCATCGGGGTGGCACCCTGCCATGGGTGTGTACAAGGCAATAAATTGACGCTCGTGACAGAAAAGAGCTGCGCACACTTCAGAAGCGCAGCGATGGACACACTCCAGATGACGCGTTCACTCTACTAATCGTGTTGCTGTAGCAACGGCCCAGACGCTGCAAAGCTCAACCAAAGGTTGTGGCAAGGCGGCCCAGCGCCATACAGCAGCGCCAAACGCTGAAAATTGCACATGTTGAGCACCACGGCAAGGAGATTCTGGCAAAAGCCCGGGTTTCAGAGATCGTGCCATTTCAAAAAACACGCCCTACCCCTCCCTCCAAAATTTTACTGGCCTGTGCGCGCCACTCACGCGCCCGACACCCCGCGCGGCCGCTGCTGCGGCTGCTGCTGCGGCTGCTGCGTCTGCCGCGATCGCTGGCCCGCCGCCGCCGCCGCTGCTGTCGCCGGCCGCGTGTGGTGGAGCACCTCAACGTGGCGCCGCACCGCGCGGAGGTTGGTCACCACCTCCCTGCTGATGCGGTCCTGGATCAGGCCGACGGGCAGCCAGGCCTGGGGCCGCACGTGCAGGCAGTACACCAGCCACGCCGACGCCGGCCCCGACACGCCCTGCTGCACGCGCCACAGGCCCCTGAACGCCTCGAAGTCGCCTTTGACCAGGTCAAACGTGAGATCGCCAAGGACAGGCTGCCCCGGCAGACTCTGGCTCGGCCAGGGGTACGCGCTCGAGCCGGCCGCCGCCAGGGGCGGCGGAACGAAGCCGAGGTTGAAACCAAAGGGCGCCGGGGGCTGGTACGCGGGCGGCGCGAGCAGCCGCGGCGGGAGGCCGCGGGGGTGCTCCCGGATTTCCAGGGTGCAGGCGGCGCGGAACTTGACGCCGAGGGCCACGTCCTGAGCGCCGACCTGGGGGAGGGTCAGGAGGGGCGGAAGAGGGGTATGTGGTGATGAGAGCGTGCAGCCACCGGCGTCACAAGCAAGCGGGCCCGCGCGCCTGCGAGCGTCCCACCAGCAGAAACCGCCGTCCGGGCATCGCCAACGCCCCGCGTGTGGGTGCGCGTGCAAGGCGCCCGCGCCGCCGCCGCCGCTGCCTTCCGGCCGCTCGGGGACCCGTCCCCGCCCGCTGTCCACGCCCTTGCGCACCTGGTACAGAACTGCCCCGCGCTCCCGCCGCTCGAGGCACCGGTTTTCGACCAGGCTGGGGATGAAGGTGCCCAGTCCGTCGTAGTCCGTCAGCGCCTCCCACACGCGCTCGGGTGGCGCCAGAATCGGGGTGGCGGCCACCAGGCGGCGGCTGCTGAAGGAGGGGGCCTCCACAGTGACGGTGACGTCACCTTGGGGCGGCGCGCGGGCGGCGGCGGCGGCGGCGGCGAGCTGCGGGCCTGCGCGGCGTCGGGCGCGGGAGGGGGGCGGGGGAGCGGGGTTGCGGGCAAGGGGGGGAGCGAGGAGGTGTGGAGGCGGAAGAGTGGTGAAGCATGCGCGGGTGCGCGTCGCGGCAGTGCTGTGTGGCGTTCAGTGAGGCACGTTTTGGAGGCGGGGATGGCTGCGGCCCGCAAGCACGCCAGGCCTGCACAGTGCGACAAGAGAGGCAAGGCGATAAAAGCCCCTGCATGTGGACAGGTGAGTCTGCATGACGCAAGCGCCGCTGCGGCCGAGCTTCAGCGGTCTGCTGACGCCAACACAGCGCGTGGCGCATGCCCACCTGCCATCGAGAACGCTGCGCGTACGCGTGGCTGCGCTGCACGGCCTTTGCGGACCCTACATACAGACGTCCCTACAGCCACTCGCGGATGGCCCCGCGACAAAGCGCCGCGTTGAAGGGAGACATTTTGCGAAGCCACGGATGCCATTTTGCGTGATCGGATCGTGTATTAATGCATTTGCGTTGATTGCAGCATGTATGCCTGGGCTTGGACGGGTGCACCTGTAGTGGTGCTGCAGTGGTCGTGCTGACCACGCGACTTCGTGCGCACGAAAAAGATGACCAGCTTGCTGCCCACCCCTCCCTTCCTCCTCCAACCTCGCCCCAGCTGTTGATGCACGTACCCCAATCCACCACAGAGATCGAAGCGTTACACAATTAATGCATCAATTTCGGGGGCGAATGGCGCCCCTGCAAAACTGGCCGCCAGAGGCGAGGGTCAAAACATGCCGGCGTCGCCGGCGCCATTCTCCCGGCGCAGCCGCATCGTCGCCGCGGGCAGCGCAGACGCCTGTCCGGGCGCCGCGGCCGCAGCCGTCACAGTGGCAAATAGGCCGCTGGTGCTGTTGACGTACACAACCGGCTGCGCCGACCCCGCCAGCCCGGCCGGCGCTGTGGACGCCCTGACCTGGGCGGGTTGCTCGGCGCGTTGCAGCTGCTGCTGGGGCCGCTGCGCCACGGCGCCGCGCAGCGCCGGCTCGGGGGCGGTCTGGGCCGCACGCGCGCCGTTGCTGCTGCCTGCGGCCGAACCTGAGCTGCTGCTGCCGCTGCTGCCGCCGTCGAGTGCTTCGGCACCAACCGTGCTGCCGCCGACGCCGGCGTACTGCCTGCCATTCAAGCCGCCAGTGCTGCTGACGCCGACTGTGATGCCATTGACAGCCGCCCGGTGCCTCGCAGCAGAATTAACAGACACGCGGCCGCGGCCGTGGCGCCACAGGCGTACCCGCGGCGCGCTCACCCTGCTGCCGCTCGCGCTGCCGCCGCCCGGCTCCAGGGCGGCGGGCTTGAATAGCCACAGCTGCGGCCCAGCGACATGCGCAAGCCTCGCGCCCGCCGCGCCGGGCACATACTGCACGCGGCATCGCGCCTGCCACTCCTGCAGCAGCGGCGACTGCAGCGCGGCGAGCGCCCACGCGACCGCCGCCGCGCCGCGCGGCGCCAGCCGCCCCTCGGCACGCCGCCGCTCCAGCTCCCCCAACACGCGCCGCTGCCACGCGGCCGGCGGCGGCGCCGCGCCCGCGCGCGCGAGGCCGAGCAGTGCCTCAGCCAGCAGCCGCGGCGGCCACTCCCCCGCGCGCGCATGCACCGCGCCCAGCCAGGCGGCCAGCCAGCGCGGGTCGACGCTGCTGCGCGGCGCGCGCGCGCGGCGGCGCTCCGACGCGGAGGCGCTCGCCAGGCGCGCCTCGATCACCTCCCGCGACAGCACGTTGCCCTGCAGCTCATCCGCAGATCCCAAACTGCTCAGGCTTCCCAGACTGCTGAGGCTTCCCATACTGCCCACACCGCTGCCAAGAGCCGCCCCGGGGCCCGAACCGCCCAACGCCGAATCAATGCCGCCGTCCGCGCGCAGCGCCGGCACCGCCGCCCGCCGCGGCCGTGCCGCGCCCGCGCCGCCGCGGGGCCGTAGCGCGGGGTCGAGCGCCGCCGCGGCGCTGAGCAGCTGGAGCAGCTGCCAGGGCGGCAGCTGCGGCAGGCCCGGCAGCGTGGCGGACGTCAGCTGACTCAGCAGCACCTCGCACACCTCTTGGGTTAGGAGGGAGCCGGCGCGCATCTGAGACAGCCCCCAAATTGCCATCGCCGCCTCTTCGCCGCGCCACGCTCGCGCCTTCAGCTGCCGCCCCGCCGCGGCCGCCGCCCGCGCGACCCACTCGCGCGGCGGCGCCGCGCCCGCCGCGGCGGCGCCCCAGAGGAGGAGAGCGAGCTCGCGTGGCGCCAGCGAGGCGAGCCGCGCCGCGCTCGCGCGCACCCACGCGCGCCGCCACTGCCAACACAGCGGCAGCCGCGCGGGGGTGCGCGCGCCTGGAGAGGGCAGCGCGGCGATGCGGCCGAGGGCCCAGGTGCTACTGACCAAGTCAGCACTCGTGAACAGCGGCAAGGCCTCGGCCGCGCGCCGCTGCCAGGCGCGCAGGAACGCCGCGCTTGGGCGGTGGCGTAGCGCGGCGAGCGCCCACAGCAGGCGGCATGCCTCGCGCGCCTGCCACGGCTGGCCGTGCACCTGCGGCGCTCGCCGGCGCCGCTGCTGCTGCTGCTGCTGCTGCTGCTGCTGCTGCTGCTGCTGCTGCTGCTGCTGCTGGCTGCTCTGGAGCTGATGCTGCTGGGGCGATGCGACCTGCGCCGTACGCCAGGAGGAGGCTTCCAAGCTGAAGCCTCGACACAGCAGCTGCACCCGCCGCCGCCCCACCTTCCAGCCAGACCGCCGCGCCAGCCGCGCCAGCGACCACGCGACTAGGCCCCAGTGCGACGCCTCAAGCTGCCCCGCCTCAGCCAGCTCGTCCAGCCGCTGCAGCAGCCGCCGCCGCGCGCGCGGCGGCGCGTCCGCGCCGCTCTCCGCCGCCGCGTGCAACAGCACCGCCAGCTCGCGCGCCGGCAGCGCGTCCGCGCCGCCGGCGGCCGCGAGCAGCAACCGGCCCACGGCGCGTCCGCTGTCTGGGCCGGCCTGATGCTGCAAACGCGCCGCCGAGTTTGAGACTGATGCGAGCCA